GCACCAGCCGGTGGAATAGAGGAAGTTTATTGCCTCTCCAGGATACAGCACAGCACAGATGTAATCTGGTCACAGAGCTGGGCTAGGATGCCTCAGGCCCCCTTGAGTTGTGGGGAGACTGGGCCCCTAAACTCCAGCTCCTCTCCCTAGGCTGTCTCCTCCATGCTCACAGACCGCCAGCCACCAACCAACCACTTCCAGCCATGGCCCCCAGCCAGGGCAGCATTCCACCTTCCTTTGTTCCTCTCCATGGGGGGTGTCTGGCCACTGGTTCAACAAGTTTGGCATTACCTTGGCCTAGTGAGGCTTTCCCTGCTGGGTCTTGCTCCAGACAGCAGGGGTCACCACAGCCCAGCAAGTACCCCCACTACGTCACACCATCTTCATCCTAATGTCCACAAACTCCAACCCAACACTTGGCTCCTCCATGGGTGATTACACAAGACATTACTTGTTTGGAAGAAGTTTGTACTCTAATCACGAACTGTGCTAAAGAAAGTACAAGGAAGACCTGTTTGCAGAAATGGCACCGTTTCTCTAAGTGGGCCACCCACAGAGCACTTCAGTCTCGTATGACACAGCTGCTGACAGTCTTGAAATATTCTCTCTCCTTGAAGAAACAGAATCGATAAAGGTCCACTTTGCATCTATTTCTAGTGAGCATGGTAATGTAGACAGTCACACTATTTTTTTCTCATCCGACCACCAAAGAATTCTTGAAGGGTCTCAACAATGTTTTCCCCTCAATAAAGCCATAGTTCCATCTTGGGATTTCAGCCCATGGCAACATAAACACTGTCATATCTTTCCATGAAAGTTGACTTTCTGCTCACCATTACAACAGCCTGAAGGATCAGCGAATTGGCCACTCTCATGGCCAGTCGGCCATTTACAATTTTTCACAAAGACAAAGTGGTGCTAAGACCACACCTGAAATTTCTACCAAAGACAGTTTCACAGTTCCACCTCAACGAACCTATATACTTACCTGTTTTCCACCAGAGGCCTCATCCTGATGCCAGTGCCACCTATCTCAACTTGGATGTACCGCAAGTGATTGCTTTTTACATAGACAGAATAAAACAATGTAGATGTTCTTCCAGATGGTTCATTTCTATAGCGGATAGCTCCAAAGGGCAGGCAATTTCAAAACTTTCAAAGTGGATAACAAATGGTATTAAAATTAGTTATGACATCCGTAAGGTGTCACTATTGACTCAGTTGTGCCCACCAGGGCATCTACCTCCACAGCCTTCCTCCACAATATGCCCATTATGGACATTTGTAGGGCATAACTTTACGAAACTACACATAACTTTACGAAACTATGAAATAGATAGCTACATTGCACAATGTGCTTGTTTGGGACAGCAGTCCTCTGCCATTCAGCAGTCAGGTCCAAAGCCCCTCCTTCCAGATACTCAGGGCACTGCTCTGTAGTCACCTACAGTGGAATGCCCACAGGGACAGTCCTTGAAGAAGAAAAGAGAGGTTACTCACCTTGTGCAGTAACTGATGTTCTTCAAGATGGGTGTCCCTGTGGGCACTCCACGACTCTCCCTCTTCCCTTCTGCTTTGGAGTTGGGACATTTCTCTGCGATAGAGAAGGAACTGAGGGATGGTTGACTGCACATGTGCGTTGGCACGTTTGCTACAGCGTGAGCGGTGCCGCACATGCATGTTGGCACCTGGGGGAATACTGCTGCTAAAAAGTTCTAATTAAAAGTGCAGGAGTGCCAAGGCACCTACAGTGGCATGCCCACAGAGACGCCCATGTCGAAGAACACTAGTTACTGCACAAGGGGAGTAACCTCTCTTTTTTATTTCAGCTCCAAAAGAGGTACGACGTGTTCCTTCCAAGCCAAAAATATCGCCAAGTCCAGACGTGCCACAAGCCAAACCAGGTAAATACATCAGTGTTTTGTATCTCATATTGAGGTGTGTCTTTTATAGAGCCTGCTATATTTTATTTATCTTGATGTATACCTTGAACCATTTCTTAAAGATGATAATTCTGTATTATAACTGGTTGCATGCAGAAGTGGCCTCTCTTGCAATCCAGACACTTATACTCTGTTCAACTGTAAAACTTTTGGTCACACTGCATCTATCTAAAGATTTTATATTGTAACCCATCTCTGTAATATCTGACATCTTCCACATGTGATTTAATTAGCAACAGAAAGACTTTGGAAAACTTTGTGGAGTCTGGGTCTTCTCCTTTTTGGAATTACTTCTTTTGTTTGCTCGTGGTTTCTTTGTATGGAGGTGTTTTGTGAGACAGGCGGATGAATAGAAGGAGGAGTCAGGGTAGAGTATCTTGGTGGAATCGTTGGAGGATAGGGACATAATTCAAAATGACCTTAGCAAGTTAGAGAAATGGTCAGAGGTAAACAGGATGAGGTTTAATAAAGAGAAATGCAAAGTGCTCCACTTAGGAAGGAACAATCAGTTCCATACATACAAGATGGGAAGCGACTGTCTAGGAAGGAGCATGGCGGAAAGGGATCTAGGGGTCATAGTGGACCACAAGTTGAATATGAGCCAACAGTGTGATGCTGTTGCAAAAAAAGCAAATATGATTCTAGGTTGTATCAACAGGTGTGTTGTAAGCAAAACTCGTGAAGTCATTCTGCCGCTCTACTCTGCACTAGTTAGGCCTCAGCTGGAGTACTGTGTCCAGTTCTGGGCGCCACATTTCAAGAAAGATGTGGAGAAATTGGAAAGGGTATAGAGAAGAGCGACAAGAATGATTAAAGGTTTAGAGAACATGACCTATGAAGCCAGGCTTCATGAACTGGGCTTGTTTAGTTTGGAAAAAAGAAGATTAAGGGGGGACATGATAGCGGTTTTCAAATACCTAAAAGGGTGTCACAAGGAGGAAGGCAAAAATTTGTTCCTCTTGGTTTCTGAGGACAGGACAAGGAGTAATGGGCTTAAAGTGCAGCAGGGGAGGTTTAGATTGGACATTAGGAAAAAATTCCTAACTGTCAGGGTGGTCAAATATTGGAATAAATTGCCAAGGGAGGTGGTGGAATCTCCCTCTCTGGAGATATTTAAGAACAGGTTAGATAGACATCTGTCAGGGATGGTGTAGACAGAGCTTGATCCTGCCTTGAGGGCGGGGGGCTGGACTCGATGACCTCTCGAGGTCCCTTCCAGTCCTATTATTCTATGATTCTATGATTCTATGATTCATAGAGGCGGGTTTTACAATGTTTCCTGAAGATGAGACTCATGGTTTTCTTTCTTTTTCAGCCAGGGTAACTTTTGCTTCATTGTTCTTATTTCAAATGATACTTTCCAGCTGATATTACATGGAGATTTGGTTATGTTGCTCAGAGTTTTGTTATCATGGATATAGTACTTCCTGTAATGTAATCTAGAGGGTTTGTAATCCAAATGTAAAGAAGCCAGCACACAAAGATAATTCTGAAAAGCCATAGTCTGGGATTGGCTACAAAGACTCCAGATATATATTGAGGTCCTGAATTGTTCTGTAGGTATCGCCTTGTATGGGAAGTAGTTCTGAGTGCACACTCCCAGTGGATCCTCCAGTAGGCATTAAGACTCAAGGAGGAATGGAAGAGTAGGCAGTACGCCACCTACTGCACTGCAGTATGTGCTCCTCTCATGGTCCTACCTCCTTTCCATCTCTCCTTGTCTGGGAATGAAAAATGCCACTGAAGGTGGTAGTTTCATGTAGTCTTCATGCTCTGTAACCTCTGTGGGGAGAGGGTTCAATTAGAGCTTTCTACAAATGGTACAAGGTATATCTCAACATATAGAAATAACCTTCCCTTACTGTTCTTGTATCCAAGGTAACAGAGAAGAAATGTTTCATGTTTAATGCTTTGATGTGCTTCAGTCAAAGTACATAGGGATCATAGCACATATCTATTGTGAGTAAGTGGTTGGAACGGTATAAAAGGATGCAAAGTAAGAGATCACTTTGTTGAATGTTAGTTATATGCTGTCTAGTTCAGCAATACTCAAACCTTAGTGGCTCAGGTGTAAAATTACCAATCAAAATCACCCAAGAATTCATTGTTTCATTTAAACAGTATGTCAAAGGAAATAAAGTATGTGTGTTCTCACAGAAAATAAGTTAATAACTTAGTGCAAGCTGATAACTTAATTATTTAATCTCATAGCATAGTAAAAGCATCCAACTTGGCTAATAACTAAGGTTGGTTAATAATTAAATTATACAGTGTTTTAATAGCATGCGCTGTAAAGAGAGATGCATTAAAGAAACACTTGTGGCTCCTGTACCTCAGTCTGTGTGTCATGGTCTATTTGAACGTGCAAAGGTCGAACTGAGCCCTTACTAGGTTAGAAGTGAGATTGAGTTCAGATTCACTATGGAGCTGTCTGTTTTTAAAAAAAAAATATTTCCTGCAAAAAAGGCAAGATTTATTTTAATTTAATGATTCGCATGATTAATTTTGTGAGTGTTGGTTTTTATTTATCAGTTTAAAGCAGCACTGGAACCAAATACATTTAGAATTGAACAACCAAAATCAACATTTCTTTATTGGATTCCTACATTTGATTTTGCGTCTCAATGTAACAGTCAAAATTAAGATATTGACTTTCTAAAGATTGCTTCGCATCATCATTTTTCACCTTGCCTGGTCTGCACATGATGTGAAACTGGGCTCTTACCTACTTTGTTTTCTTCACAGCAGTATAGTCTCACTGGATGAAATTAATCTCTGTGAAAGTGTCTGTAAATGTTCTGTCTATAATGTTCTCTGGACTTTAACGCTCAAAAATAAATGACCTAAGTGAGCCTGAGGTACGGTGGAGACCTGGGGCACTTTACCTATTAGTCATAAGGCAGTGAATCAGTCTAACTCACCTTCAAGCAGCTCAATCATCTTGCAATCATGTTGGGTTTTTTTTTAACTACCCTTCTTGCTAATTTTAATGCTATGTTCCAACAGAACTAGGCATTTCATCCATGCTTTCCCACACAATAGTTCCTCTTCTCTTCAGATTCTTTGTGCCATTTGTCTTTTATCTGTTCATTAAATACATGCACACCTTTATGTCCTCATTGCAAGTTCGGAGGTACTCCATGACTATCTATACAGGCTTGTGTTTTGACTGATGTCAGATGGTGATGCTTGGGAGTATTTTATCAATATATATAACCCAGCTGTTTTCTTTCAGCTCCAAAAGAGACACAGCGTGTGCCTTCCAAACCTAAAACATCACCCATTCCTGATACACCACCAACCAAAGCTGGTAATTGTATCTTAATTTTGTATTTCAGTATAGCGATGTTTATGCTTTTGCAGCTTTCCTACCATGAATTGTTGGCACGCACATTTATGGCAATGGCAGAAGTGTGTTAGTATAACAATACTCTGCTCCGCGGCTGTCATGGAGCAAGATTGAGCTATCTGATACGTACACGTATTAATCTTACTATATGTTTTAGAAATGTATCTGTCTGTCTGTCCATCCTTCTGTGAGTCTCTTTGTTCAAGAACTCCTTCTAAACAGTAAGAGCTAGGACCACTGAATTCAGTATGCAGCTTCCTCTTATAACTTAAAGCAAGGCCAGTGTTTGTGTCAGGATAATGGGATGTGCATGGAGAGCAATTGTTTCTCATCAGATGGAAAGGAGAGGGATGTGATAGCAGATGAATGACAGCAACCCCGGGGGACAGTTATATCTCAGAATGACCAAAGGGGGGCAGCAAACACCCCAGCCCTAGGCAGTAGTCACTGGCAGACAGCACGGTTCCCGCAACCCCGGCCTGCCCAGGGAGCAGTTACCAGCCACCACATGGTCCCCGCTGTCCTGGGCCACCCCTCAGCGACTCTGCTGCATGGCTGAGTGGCCCAGGGGGAAAACATCTGGGCAGCCTGCATGCCCCCCATCCACATCCCCTGCCCAGGCCTGCCCCAGGGAACGGCTGCTGGTCACCATGTGATCCCTGCCGCCTCCATGGAGAAGCTACCAATCCCCTCTTCCATCCTCCACTCCCTGCTCTGGGCCAGCCCTGGATCTGAGCAACTCCACATGAGTCTTGTAGTGAAATACACAGTCATTTATCTTTTTTTACACTGTTCTACTCAGGGTTTTTCTTTACTATGCCCTTATGCAACAGAAAACCTTTGTTTTAATTTCCATAGGTTAGAAGAAAGGTTGTTCATCTCCTGACTGACATCTGTAGTTTTGAGGGGTTTGTTTATCTGGTGTCAAAAGATAAAGGTTCCAAACAATCCCTCCACTTTGCTCTTGTATGTTGCCTTCCATCTGAAAGTGAATGGTGAAGATATTCCCATCTCTGCTCTTCCTGTTGCTTATCAGGCAATATTTTTATGCCATGCTGAGTTAAGAGGGCAAAATTCTTAGCAAATGCAATACACGAGGGCAGCAGCAACAACAGGAAGTGGCAGAGACTGAGGATTTGTGTACAAGATATGTCAGTACACAGTAGGGGGGTGTGATATCGAAAGTGTGTTAATGTGTAGCACATTAACTGGTTCACGTAGAGTGTAGATTCTGCTGGTGTACATCAATCGGTGGTGTTGATTTCTAACAGATGTGAGATACTTAATAAGCACAGGGAACCTTTAGTATGTACCAGTAGGGTCTACACAGACCACTTAATGCACAACGCTTTAGAATGCTTTGTAAGTTCTCTCCCTGCTGGAGTGCACAGCATCCCAGCTAAATAAGCCCTGAATCTTCAGCTGCACAAGAGTTCAGTTGGCGCTGCTGAGGCAGGGAGGACTCATTCCATTGCCCCACTCTGCAGAGCAGGCAGGGGTCACTTCAGCCTTTTACCTCTTCTAGGACCTATGCTGCATTATAATGACAGACTATCAGCCATTACCAGAGCTGTTGGAATGATTTTCTGAAAGATATTTCAGTTTTCCTTTGGAAAATCTAAATGAAAGCTCCCCCGCTCCCTGGCAACACACCTGATTTAATGTATAATTTTGTTCATCCTTTCAGCTACGAAAGAGATTCGACGTATCACGTCTAGACCCAAAACGTTAGCCAGCCCAGAGGTACCACCAACAAAACCTGGTAATTACGTAATTGTTTTGTACTCTTTAATTTCAAGGTTTTGTTTTTAGCCATTGTACTTCAGTTGAATGTTTAACTAACATGCTAACATGTTGTTATACTAGCATAGCAGGTATCTACTTCTCTGCCATCAGCCTGCGAGCACCTGTATCTCACATTTGACACCTGCAGATGGAAAGTACAGAGGGTCAATGACTATTTTCATTTTGTATCCGTTATATTATAAAAATGTGTATATATACTCTACCAGAGCTAAGAGACCCAACTGCTGCTCAGCCTTAGTATAGGCCTGAGCCACCCAAACAGTTTGCTCTCCCAACCTGTACCAGGACCTTGGCCTATTGACTGTTTGTTCAGCCTGAACACAGGCCCAGGTGCCTGGACTATTTTTGACCACCTGTTCGGCCAGGGGATAGGCCCAAGTACCTGGACTGGTGGTTGCAATGCCCTGAAGCAGGGTCTGGGACAGACTGTTAACCTGTTCTGCTTGCTTGCAGTAAGACAGGTTGGTCTCTCTCTGAGCCTGGACAGGATCGGGACTCTGGCCTGATCCAGTACAGGGTGAAGAACACAGGCAGCGTCCGCCCTCAGACATAAGGGGTTTTGGAAACGAGTAGTTGCGGACACTTCGAGGCCATGACAACGATGAACATGGAACATCTTATTAAGTATCTCACAGAGACCCAATAACAGCAGCCACAGCTATTTGGTGAAATAGTTGGGAGACCTGTAGCAGCAGCAGCTGCTCAAACAGCTGATGCAATAGGAAATCCCTGCCACCCCATCACCAATCCTTCTCTATAATAGTGTAGCCAGTTAAACGATCAACCAATATGCAGCTGCTTATTGGTTCACACTATTGACTACACACGACTTTCCCCTCTGTGGCTCTGCATTTAAAGTATTTTGAGAGCCAGTGCACAGGAATGCTGGCTCAGTCCCACTTCACGCCGTCTCCCAGTAGCTACCCCCACTGTGGCTCTGCGTTTAAAAGAGCTTGAGAGCTGGCAGGCAAGGAGACAGGCTCAGTCCCAGCTCACACCTGGCCCTTGCAGCCAGCCCTGCTACAGCACGAGCCAAGACTAAGTCAGTGTGCCTGCCCACCAGCTTAGCCTCCCTTGTTCTTTTATGCTCACCACCTATGGAGTTACGCTTGCATATCATGAAGAGAAGAGGTTGGGTTACAGTAGCTATCCACTCTGAAACACGTGGAAAATCTCAGTCGTTCTGCTACCATGTCTCTGTGTTAATAAATTCTTGTCTTAATCTTTGTTGAGCTTGACTCCAAACAGGATAAGGAAGTCTGTCCCTTGCTTGCTTGATCATATTTCAAATGCCTTCATTTCTCTTTTAAAGGGCTGGGCACATAGGACTTTCAGTCTTCTTCACTGTCCCCATAAACATTTTGTTTCCTTGTTGCAGGCAGAAGGCATATGGTATCTTCAGCTTTACACCTGATATTAGACTTTTATCCCTGGAGAACTTAAACATTTATAAGAGGTTCTTTTTTTCAGTTCCAAAAGAAATTCAGCGAATTCCTTCCAAACTCAAAACATCAGCCAGCCCAGATGTGCCACACACCAAACCTGGTAAATTATTTTGCATTTCATTGTGCTTTGGTTCATGTTTTTAGCAACTCTTCTTAGCAATGGACTATTGGGAAAAAATATGGCAACAGCAGAAATGCTGCAACATTTTAAAACTGCAGTCTCCATTTTACTCCCGTTAAGTAGTGAGTCTGATCAAATCAAGCAGTTGGTTTTGATGTACTATAGAGGGCTCACTGTGCGACCGTGAGAGCTGGTATCAATCCCTGTATTTAAGATGCCTAACAGGTTTCATCATAAAAATATTCTTGTAATTTTATTGTTTGCAGGATGCCTTGGAATTTGGCGGAGAAAAAGACCTTAGATTAGGGACGTGATGTCTCTCTGGTCTCGTCAGGTTCAGTTGAGACATAAATTCTTAACAATCATCAGTTTTCGCTGGCTAGTTCCATTCTCAGGAAATTTTGGCAGCACGCCAAAACAAACTAAACAAACAATTCATAGTATCCAATTTATACCACTGCCCAAGTACCACCGGTACCACACCACTTTGGGAACATCTGTAGCCTGCCAAAACAGCGGTAGCGGTGGGGTATGTGTTTTTATCGAGAGCTAAGCCAGGCTTGCAGCACACTGTAGGGCCAGCACAGGACTCCTGAATTCTTTGTATCTCCCACGTTGAGGTATAACTTAAGGCAAGAGCTGCCCCAACTCCTGGACAAGGGTGGCCAGGAAACAGGGAAAACCGAGGCAAGCCAGGTTCCCTTCAGACACCCCTGGAACCAATATATGGTGCCTATGTGAGCCATTCCACCCTCTTTGGGTAAGCAGCCATTTCTGGATGCCAGCTAATGTAGTTAATCCTGTAGTTCAAATGATAGAAATCTGTGCTGAAGATTCAGAGATTGAATCGTGCTGCTGATGGCATCATGGTAGGTTGTCACAGTTGCACATAACAAAATTTGTTTTTACCTTTTTCTTCTTGGAAACTTAGGAAATTACACAAGTCAAAATTAATTTTTTTGTTTGGAAATTCCCTGTAGGAAAACCAAATTTTTACTTTGAAAATGTTCACAGTAAAATTAATTCTGTTTTCACAAACTTATGGTTTTGGTGGGAGAACTTTCTTCGTGAAAAATGTTGGTCCCTCTGGTTTTAAACACTCCCAATCAGAAACTGTTGTAACAACTATTGCCAAGCGAAGTCTATTATTAACAATACCATGAGAAAATTAGCTTTTGGGGAAATCTGGATCTGTCTGAATATTGCTGCCTATATAAGTCCATCTTTATTTTCTACAAGCATAGATATATCTATAAAGAGAGCCTACCATTGAGATATTTCATATAAATGAGAAACAGCATATCTGAATGTAGAATATAGTGCCCCCATGTTTAAATGTTTTTCTCTCTTCAAACAATCTCAAAACTCATTTAAATGAAACCTTAAAGAGCATCTACTTACGTCTTGTAAATCTCTGATTGCAAAGGCTTGCTGCTATTTTAAAATTCATGGGCCAGGTCCTCATGTGGTATAAACTGAGTCTCTTCATCTCTCTCAAGCTTTATCCACATTTTTTTCTAGCAGGAATCATTCCATCCATCCAAGAGCCAGTCACTGCTACAGCTCCTTACTCTCTTGAACGAGCGAAGGCAACTCTGGGTAATAATATTTATTCAATAGGTTGTCACTCTGTTTTGTTCTTTTTCATTCTTATCAAAGGAGAAATTCCCAAGAGAAACTCATCTTATATCATTAAATGTAATCATCAAACTTTGCTTCTAGATGCATGCTTGTCCTTTGGCACTGAGCGCACAGTGTTGTTTGCTGTTCCCTCACATGAACTTTGTTTATTTTTGCAGCATCAGCAGCATCCTTTAGCCCAATTTGAAGTTTTGCATTCATAATAGATGGAGCAAATAAATCCACATACAGTAAACTTCCGATAATCCGGCACCTTTAGGACCCAGGGGGTGCTGGATTATCAGATATGCCGGACTATCAGAAGGGGGGCCTATGAGGGGTCTGGGGTGGGGTGGGAGGGGATGCCACCCCAGACCCCTCATAGCCCCCCCTTACGATAGTCCGGCTCTGCCCCAGGCATCCCTGATTCAGCTGCTGCTGGTCAGTTTCAGCAGCAGCTGAATCGGGGATGCCTGCAATAGAGAAGCTGG